CAACGATGACTCAACTCGAAAAGCTATTCGTTATCGTTCTGGTCCCTCTTGAAAATCGTCAAGGGATTTAGTGGAAGGGAATGGTTGTGATTGGCCCTCACTTCGTGAATGCCCTTCTGCTCCATCATCAGCTCGATTCCTACCAAACTCGGGATCTTCTTTAAATAACTTGTCGTTTTCTCCTTTTCCCTAACCTCACGATGACGCATAAAAGAACCAAGTTACTGTTGTGGGAATATTGATATCGATAGTTCTAGTGATTGGATAAATAGTAGTGCGCTGCAAACGCCCAGCTTCAGTTCGTAGTGACCACATTGGACAGACCAAACAAGTTAGAGATTCGATTTGACTCAGGAAGGCTGAAATCTTGAAAATGAAATGCTACTCGCTATGTTTACTAGAGATCTTTAGAATTGGCAAGATTTTAATGAACTGCCTTTAAATTTGTAACAGTTTCCTTGGGAAACTGGGTAGAATTTCAAACCAACTAAAAGACATTCCTCCTGAATATTAAATAGCATTCAAGACTACTTCCAATCAAGAAATAAGGAATTCGCTGGCTTCCTCGTTTAACTTTGGATAGTACTTCGCCTGAATAACATGGCAATAGCGGGAAGTATTTAGTTCAACACTTCATCACTACTGCAACGAAATTCACAACAGCCAACCGAAATTACTATTACAATTGATAGACAACTGTGAATTTCGAAATAATACCTTTACTCGACTAAAAATTGGAAATTAAAATCAAACGGGATCAGGCAATTTTGGTATATAAGGCAGATGATTGGGTAGTTTGTGATTTGAAAATCGTTTCACTTTTACGTTCATGTGGCTTAAATGCACTTAAGAGATGAATAAAGATGCCCCTCTTGGTGAAATTGTTTCTTCACCCATGCATTTTCATTAGTAAATAGAAAGTACCAAATGGTTCAACAAACGTCAGTCAAAAATGAAAAACTAACCTGGCTTTTTTTTACTTAATGAAATTTTTTTGTATCTGCTTGAATTTGGACAGCTAACTAAGCTCAGTAATGAATATATTTGCGTTTTAACAGAGACGATTGATTACCATAGAGACGAGATTACTTTGATGGCTACCAACAACTAATCTCGAAATTTTTAAAAAAGGAGTTTGCGTCATTTCATGGCCAAACGTTGTGGAGGCAGCGACTCAAGGTTTTATCTTAGTAGGCAAATTGTTCAACAGCATTTATGCTTAACGTAACGTGCCTAAATGCAATTAATGCCCTTTTTTATTTCATCGTAGCTTGAGGCCTTCAGGGCAACTGAAGACAATTAGTGAAGTGTATAACTCACACTATGCAAACCAAATTGTTAGTGAGAACAAAAAGCAGTTTTTTTACCCAACAATGTAGGTTAGAATAAAAACATGAGGAGTAAAACAATCAGCGAATTATTCGTTAGAACAAGGCCAAACAGTTGCAGGTGGACTTTGTTGCTGCCAAAAATCTAGAAGACTAAGGGAGACATTTAAAGATAAACGTTTATTTAACAGGAAAGAAATATGTCGTCAACATCACGGTAGGGCGATTGATGTAAATGCAGAGGAAAAAGTGATTGTGGAGTGATCATTTGAATTGGAAGTGGAGAAGTTTAGGTTGGGACAAGAGTGCAGAAAAGGAGTGAATCGCGAGGCCGTTGCAACTGGGGTTGTGGTTAGAGGTGGTTTCGGTTCTATGCACTTGATCGGGCTGCGATGAAGGTGATATTGGATATGGTGGCGGAGATGAAGGTATTGGTGGTGGTCTTAAGTGTGGAAGTTATGTGTTTGAAATTGGAAGTGGCGGAGAGGAGACTAAATTGTGTTTTTGCGGTAGCAATGCTAGCGGCGCCTACATCAGCACAAGAATGTGGCAGTGGAAATGGAGGTGGAGGTGGAGTCGTATAAGCCACGACATGTGATCTCGTTAGATCAGGTGGAGGGACTAATTGTGATAAAGTTAGTTGAAGTTGAAGGCCCAATTCCATGTATTTTCGGTAGTGAAGGCTAGATGACAGCGAATACAAATGAAGTGTAATTGAGTTGCTTGAGGTGAGCATGTGGTTGGAGTGACGCCTCGTGGAGATTGGAGAAGGTGGAGGAGGAGAATGAGGAAAGGTGAGTGGCTGTTTTTGTGGTTGATACACCAATATGTTCTATCGCCATGACTAAATTTGTCGAGTACCATGAATCCTTTTCAACCACTCCATGAACTTTGGCGAGGAAAAGTTTCCACCTTAACTTGGCAATTTAGTGTTTTGCCAATGCCTTGCGAATGGAAAAAAATCGAAAATGAGATAGTACAAATACAACAGAGTTAGCAAAATATAGTAGACAAGAACAGTGGTACATTCACGTCACATATTCATTAGAAAATATCTAGAAGAGACCTCTAGTAAGTCCACTAACATTAATAATGTCGTAGTGGTTTGAACTAATGTTTTATGGATGAAAGGTCACTTAATGCTCACGGTGATGAACACGTGCTCTCTTATCATCACAAATGTCGTCTAGGGACTTGAGCTTCTACTTCATTAATGGAACTGAGATTAATCTGCCTAATACACAGTAGGAAGTATCCTTTCCATGGTCATTAAAGAAACCGATGATTTAGTAACAACGGTTTTAATAGGCACTCACTTACAAAATATCAATAAGCAGTATTAAAAGCAATGATGCTTGTCACAGTTGAAGACTTTGCACCAAATTTGTGCATCACAAAGTCTCCACAATTTGGTTAATTTATATGATATCCTTGCCATTCAGCATTATGATAAATATTTATTTATTTCAAATGGCAGGCGTTTTGATAGTTATCATTAGCCCTGGAGCTGACTTTGGGGCTTCAGAGAGAGGAGAATGAACGTCGAAGTGACAAAAAGTTGAGATTGGGAACAGCAGAGTGATTCACAGATGTAAAAGAGACAGACAGACAGGCACAAAGGCATAAAAAGGTAAGATGAGTACTGTGGTAGGGGTCGAATATGAAAAATAGTTGGACCATAGTAGTTTGGAGTCAGAAGTCAACTGCCGATCAATAGACTTTTTCGCCGTATAAGTATACGTTGCCCAGGCTGCACCATGTGGAGGTAAGTCTTGCGCACCCCCGTGACAAAAATAAGATCATTGTAGACACGAATATTTCACCTTGAGCGAAAATCTCTCAAGTTGTTATACCAAAAAAACAGATTGGTTTTCTCGGCACCACTATCTGTAAGCTACTTTATACATTGTGAGAACATTTTTCTACTCAATTATTGGAGTAGTAGGAATTGACTTGGCAAGACCGACTGCCATGATTAAGGCAAACCGATCACTCAATGCTGAATATGACAGACAAGAACTTATTCAACACGTCTGGAGGCGCTATTTGAAATTCAATTTTTTAGGAACGTAGCCAACCAAATAAGTAAATGCTTCATTAAAACACAGCATTGAGCAATGTTGATTGCTTTTAGCACTCGAAATTTATATAAGTTGCTATATTAGGATAGGTTTAGGTAATAATATATAATACTGTGACGTAAATACGTAGCTGCCATTTAAAAAAGTCCTTGATGTACAACATCTTTATATTTCTTAATGTGGTTGGGTTGTTTTGCACAAAGTTATTAAGCCATTTTTTGAAGTAGTAAATCAATAGAGCGTTTTATTAAAACCTTTTGTTAATTGTTTCCGCCGCAGGTAGCCATCTTTTACGTTTTCCGGATCAAATTTTCTAAATTTTGAACAAGTAAAAAGAAGTACAGAACTTGTCTTCTCTTTCACTTTTGGGGCCAATTTTAAACCTTAATGCGAAAAGAGTGGTGGCAATGAATGTTGCCTAAGAAGATTACGCAATGATTTATGTTGTCTGGGTATGAAATTCACCAAAGCGGTGATACTTTCGGACTCACAGTCAGCAATAAACACAATTGGAAGCAGAGAGCAACCGAAAACAGCTGAGATAAACGAATGTAGAAAACTCTATCAGCTGCTGAGAGAGAAAAAACAAAACAGTGGTCCTACAATGGATTCCTGGTCACTGTGGCATTGCAAGCAATGAGCTTGCTGATGCACTTGCTAAGAAGGGGACNGTTGCGTGGAGTCGAACACTTCTACTGCGCACCACTAAGTAGTACTACTAATCTTTAAACGCTAGGAAAAAATTTGTCCCGCAAAAAAATGTTGTGACTTTCTTATTATTTATTTATATCAAATGGCAGGCGTTTTGATAGTTATCATTAGCCCCTTAGTTGACTTCACAGAGAGGAGTTGGAATATCACAGTGGAAAAAGTCGAGAGAGGGGATAGAAGAGAGATTCAAAGATGTAAAAGAGACAGAGGGACACGAAGGTGGAAAAAAGGTGAGGTGAGTACTATGGAAGTAGTCGAATATGGCATACAGTGAGGTGATGATAGTTTGAAGTCAGAAGTCAACTGCCGGTTAATAGACTTTTTTGCCGTATGAGTATACGTTGCCCAGGGTGTACCACGTGGAGGTAAGTCTATCGCACACCCCACTTTCTTATTATAACGAACCACGATTAGGGCTGCGCGATAGACTTACCTCCACGTGGTGGACTATAGGCAGCGTATACTCATGCGTCTTAAAGCCTATAAATTAGCAGTTGGCTTCTGATTTCCCACTACCATGACCCCATCGTATGTCACATTCGACCGCTTCCAAAGTACTCGCCCACCTTTTTCTCTACCTTTGTCTCTGTCTCTTTTGCATCTGTGAATCACTCTTCTATTCCCCCTCTTGATTTTGTGAGGCTTTGATATTCCTCCTTCCTTTGTGAAGCCCGAAGTCAACTAAAAGGCTAATGATAACTATCCTAAAGCCTGTCATTTTATATATCTAAATAAATGATGAACAATTAGAAAATTTCAATCAATTCCAAAACTATAATTGAAGCAGGGCAGAGCTTGCAAATAACTTCTAGATCAACCCTATTTTTTTTTGCCACATATCAAACCTCCCCTTGATGCAGTTTATCATTTGGAATTCGCATTTTTAAATTCCTACTATTTGCTCAGGATTTGTCTGCGACTCCATTCAGTCAATAATCTCGCGACTGTTAAAGTAAAGGCTCTCATTTGGGGAACATGTATATCGGGNTGGCAGGCGTTTTGATAGTTATCATTACCCATTTAGCGGAATTCAGGCTTCACAGAGAGGAGGAGGAACATTAAAGTGACAAAAAGTCGAGAGGGGGGACAGAATAATGATTCATAGATGTGACAGAGACAGACAAAAGAGCAGAGAAAAGGTAAGATGAGTACTGTAGAAGGGGTCGAATATGACATACAGTGGGGGTTGTTTGAAGTCAGAAGTCAACTCCCGGTTAATAGACTTTTTTTCCGTATGCGTATACGTTGCCCAGGGTGCACCACGTGAAGGTAAGTCTATCGCACACCCCAGGTTTTAGAAAAGAAATATTAAGTGAATACTAGTGAGATAAATATATACACGTGTATATTCAATCTTGTATATGGGCTCTACATGAAGGGATCGTTTATCAAGGGGTTGTAGCGTCGAACAATGGAAAGGGAATAAATGTACCGATTAATAATGGAGTCATAGATTTAAACACAGCTTTTCTGCTTACTCCATAACAAAGGACTTATTTATTTATTTATTCTAATTGACTTTAGTAGCATTTTCATTCTCACTACTATTTTAACACAAGATAAAGATTTCTAGTGGACGATTTCAATCTTTGAAATCTAAGATAAATTAAATTCATTTCACATATAACTTAAATCTTGATTTTGAAAAGCGATGCAAAGCAATCAAATTTCTACCAATTATTTACCTTGACCAATATTGTGACAGATCAATAAAACATTTTTTCATCGTGTGAAAAGAATGCATCGTTGCCATTGATTTAGAAAGCCATTTGCATGCTTTAGGCCTACTGAATACAACTCCTCAGCATCAACTCAATTTCAGAAAATTTGTACTGTATATGAGCAATTGTTTTGGCATTACATTTTCTCAAACCATTATATTAATTCATTTTTATCGAGTTACACAATATTCTGATATCTACACAAAAAGTTTTAAACCCAAATTTGCCAAATAGCTTTTTTGAAATGAGGGAACGTACTTGCAGCGGATTGCTACCTTAGTAAAGTCTGACTGACTCAGAAATCTCTATGGCAGATTCTCCTACATCTAGCTAGACTCCCAGAACTAGCTAAGCTATAGCCCAGCTATAAAGGAAACAGACGTGTAGCAAGGAGCACGTTTATTCAGTACGGATATTGTGGAGGAAGTGTACAAGCAGGGAGCTACTCATGATCAGGATGGGGATTAGGTTAAACAGAGGTTAATGATCTGTTACTGTTTGTACGGTCGTTGCACACAGAGTTTTACGCCGCACCTCACAATCCTGGCGAGCAGATATGCAGGCATACGATGACGCACACAGCGATAACGTGCCCCACATACTAAACAGAGGAGCGACCGTGAAAAGGATTTTCAGCATTTTATTTCAACTAATAAAATCAATCCCTCCGGGGATGTTTCGCAAGTACTAAGCAAATAAAATCACTGAAATTCTCAAAGATATCCAAAGAGTTTTCTGGAAGGTGCATTGGCAACTTATTCCTTGCTGGAACTTTGGGAAGCCATCTCACCATCACAACATCTCTACTTTTCATTATATATTTCGAAAACTTACAACTATATTTACCAGCACCACTGACGATATTATAATTAAATAAAAGATTGTTTTTCTATGGATATACGCATATGGTATTTTATCGCTAGNATTTAATTGGAAAAATCTTTTATTAGAAGTGGGCAAAGATTTACCTAAATCAGAATCGAAAAATAAATTTTAAACTTGCACTCAGATGACATACGATTATCAAATCGATTAATTGTTGCTGTTTACAAATGGCAGTATTTGCCCTGAGTTTGTTTATATACGTAAAAGTAAGTCACTGCTTATTAACTCCGAAAAAATAATATTTGAACATTTAGAAGAAAATCATTTGGAATTGTATACAGCAGTTTGTAGCGGATTGCTACCTTATTAAAGCNTGTGCCCGGGGTGTGCGATAGACT